CTTTCTCTCTCGAGGATTTGCAATCCCGCGGATTTCGCCGATCGTCGTCTGACCCTCGTGGCTGGCGCGCCGCCAAGCCTTCTTCCCTCATCGTCTCGCTGTCTTCTTGTTCCGGCTATATTTGCCTCAACGTGCACCGTCTAATTCGTCGACGATGACGCTCGCCCGAGCGTGCCACGTCGTGCACGTCAATAGGAATTCGCGATCGTCGCCGTCGTTGATTTATTTAACGAGTTTTCGTAAGCGGAACGAAAACGGCGAAAACTATGGAAGTGTGTAAAACCTAATTAGGGTCAGCGTCGCGGAACGTGTTCGCGAGTTTGCGACTTCGCGCTTAGCGCATGAGCTGGCACGCGACCCGAGATCTTGGGGGATAAAATGTGCTGAGGTGGCGCGCGCGCGCGCGCGCGCGCGAGCGAACCAACCCTGTCCTAATACACGTTGTAACTTTGATCCGGGTCTGAACTGGGAACGACGATAAACCGATAGCATGAGATATACGCGAAACTCGTTAACGTCGCTAGGAACGTTGGCATTTCGTCCGGGGGACGTCGTCTAAGTTTAGAGAGAGCGCAGGAATATATCCGCTGGTCGCCTAACAGTGACACTATCCGAGGTCAGATGGTATCAGGGTAGACGCGAAGTCTGAGCGCGGACATCTCAGCTACTTGACGTATACTAAATATAGGCATGTGTGTGCCAATTTTGTCATTTACCTCCCGCGGGTTACTTTCTTTTTTATGAGTGACGTACCGATCGACTGGTGTATCAAAAATGTGACGGTATCGATATATATTTAGCAGAATCGTGAATTGAATATCTGTCCGCGAACGCGGGCGTATTTATTTATTTTCCGCCATTATCGTTCATTATCGATTGATAATACGAGACATAATCGTGTTGTACCAATTATGTTTTTATTTATGATACGATATTGTAATAACAATTGATATCACAGTATCGCGTTATAGCATAGTTTTATTTAGTTTTCTTATCAACAATTTCTGTGCATTATCCGGCGCATGAGTAAGCGTGCGTGCGTTTGTGTTATCGAATTTAGTACATAATAGGATTTTACGAAAGACGACGGCTTACGCTAACGCAATATTCTTATTTTATTACAGGAAGTTGGCAGCATTATCGGGAAAAAGGGAGAGATCGTCAAGAGGTTCCGCGAAGAGGTAAGAATCTTTCAATTCCTGAGATACATAAGCACGTCTTTCTGACAATTGAAAATACAGAGTCACGTATAATCGCATCACGTATCAGAGAAAATGATACTCTGTGTGGAAATATGTAAATTATTACTATTTGCCTTATAGTCGGTTTCAGCTACATCAAGGATGTATTACGTTTACATGTCATTTAAATTTGTTTTCTACTTTAATCATCCTCTCACTAATACATATCAACTTGACCTCTCAGAATAGCAGGCATTGATTATCGAATATTGGAAGCTGAAAATAGTCTTTGCTACACACACACACATATATATATATATATATATACATATATATATATATATATATATATATACACCAAATGATTCTATTATATATATATATAGATAAACCAAACGCATAGTTTGCTGAGTAAACTTCCGAAAATAGCACACATGAATTTCAATTTGTCACGCAATAGAGACAAAGTAGTCGATATTAATCCAGCCGAACGAGAAAATACGACAAGAGGGAGCATTTTAGAGGGTTAGGAGAATCGGAAGTAACAGAGAAATGAAGATCTAAAAGATTGCTTCTTTCTTTCTCTCGCAGAACGGTGATCTGTGTATATCGATTCTGCATCCACCTGTAGATGATCCACAGAGTGGCGAACTGCCCTGTGAGAGGTGGAATCCGACGCAAAATGTCAGGTGGGTTTAACGTCGTGAAAAAGAAGGTCAGAGAAGAAAAAAAAAAGACTAGAAATCACGATCATCAGTAGACTTAAGTAATTATTAAAGCTTACAGTAAAAATAATTTTCAGATTTCTTCCTAAAATTGAATAATTCTATACTAAATTTTTTGGAGGAAAAAAAAAGAATAGAAATCGTGATCATCGACAAATTTAAATAATGCTAAGTAATAATTAAAGTTATAGCTAAAGTTTACAATGGAGATGATTATGATTTTCAGATTTCTCCCTAAAATTGAACAATCGTATGCTAGATTTTTTTGGGGGGAGGAACGTGGATTGTAATTTCTAGAGTTAATAATTAATTGACTATGTTTTTCGTCTCAGGACTATTCTGCTATCAGTGATTTCGTTGCTGAACGAACCCAACACGTATAGTCCAGCCAATGTTGACGCGTCCGTGATGTATAGACGCTGGCGCGACTCCAAAGGAAGAGACAAAGAATATGAAAATATCATAAGGTAAGATATCGTCAGTAATGCCGTTGCGTGACATCACGCGGTTGCAGGAAACTTTGCGCGTTCTCGTTGGACTTATACTGCCAAACTAAACCGGATCCATAGTGCGCTAAAAACTATGCCGACTGTACGAGACAGACTGTACGAGACTATGGAAACGAGAA